CTCTCTCTCTCTCTCTCTCTCTCTCTCTCTATATATATATATATAACAAAACAAACAAGCGAATTGGCAATACCTTCACTAATTATGAGGCTACCTAATAATAATAATGATCACTTTCCTAGAGTTAATATTTACTTCTTACCCCTAATTTACACTACATGCGTTTCGGCTCGGCTCCGGTCCGACCTGCGCAGCAAAATATAATTCATTTAGATTTCATCATAATCAATGACAGTATTTATACTGGCTCCACACGGCGGCGGTGAGCGGACGGCGATCCGGCAAAATTAGATCCAATTCTATTTCTGCAGGAAGCCGGAGCTGCGCCGGAGTCAGTTTTGAAAGATTACGTTGCACCAACAGGAAGAGGAAGGAGCACAACATCCGTATTTTCAAAATAAGACACGATTAAGCAGAATAATTTGTCAGAATAATGTTGAAATCCCAGCTATATTAATAAATATATGAACATATTTAAACACAAATGCTGTTAGAATGTATTGTTCTGTTTGGGAAGCAGATGACAACATGTAGCATGAAGCACATGTGTACACACATGATACACGTGGATTTCATTTTGAAATCAGAAGTTTCAAAAGGACGACAGCGATACAGTTTCATCCATTGATATCAAAAGCTTTTATATCAATGTTTTCAGCTGTGTTTGGAGTTCGTATTTCAACAAATTAATTATTTTTTGCTCTGACTTCCACATTTATCCATGCATTTATTGCATGATCTTCTTCCTCCACACGCTCCCTCCTCTGTGTGTTGCACCGGAGCGGAGGGTGTATAAATTGGGGCACAAACGAACAGCTGCGAACTGCGCTGCGCAGCGCAGAGCAGCGGAGCGGAGACACATGTAGTGTAAATCTGGGGTTACAGTTTTCTGAGAACAGTCTGATACCTTTTATTGTTTTATTTAAAAATAAACCAGTAAGGTTATAGACTTGTGCCCAAACCAAAAAGAGGTTGCATGAGGCTTTTCTCTTGCCATTTCTGATGGTTTCAAATACGAGCTGTGAGATGGATGCAAGAGCCAGCTGCTGTGTAATGAGCCCGGATCACTAAGGAGGCCTGTATGACAGGTGACGAGGCTGGTTAGTGGAGACTCAGCGCTGATGGTGAGGTCAGCTTTGTCTTACCGTGGCCTGCTGCTTTTCAGCTCTCTCATTTGCCTCATCCAGCTGCTTCTGCAGGGCTGCCTGGAGGGACTTCATCTCCTCTCTGTCAAGTGGTGGGGAAGTGAGAAACACCCTGTTAGCACATCCTTCCTCACACTCTCAGAGGCCTTTACAGCTCCACCACAGAATGCCTTTCTTAAGTACACTGCTTTTGGGAGACAAAGTGATTTGTGCAAAGAAAGTTTCACATTACAGAACCAATGTTTCATCATCTTGAGTAAATAAAAAAATCTACAATAACATTTTTTAAACCTTTGCACGTCAAAGCTACTCTGCTTCTGATTTTTCTGTATTTATTCAATTAAAATAATTGATTCAATAATTGATGATTCTCTTTTATATAAAGAAAACTACCCATTACTTTTATTGATTTCTTTTATTGAAAATCAAACATTCAAACATGGTTTGGTTCTTCCCTCCCTGAATAATTACTTTTAATGTTTACTTAAACCAGATAGTAAAAATGGCAAGATGTTTGGTGAATTTAACGAGAATATGTATAAAATATACGTAGTGTTTTAACTTGAGTCAGTCAAATTTATGTATGCTTCACAATTTTATGCATGCTGGATGAGGCCTGGCCCTGCATCTGTTATTCTTTTAACATGAATGGTAAATGTTGTGCATTGGAATGCTGTGGCTATTTCCGCACTGTTTGATGCTACCGTGCAGGGATAACAGCAGTGCACAATGAATTATGAATTAGGTAGGGTAGTGATGTGGGTCAATGCTTTCAAAATTACTTGTAGAAATCAGATCACCTAAGGCATCTAAGTTCAATTCTAAACAGGATTCGGTTTACTATTTTTAAGCACGGCTTCAAATTTAAAAGTAAAAGTAGTGAGCTACAGTCAGGCGATGGTGCAATAAAGTGACGGTACAGCAACACTNTCTTAGGGCTCCACAGTCACATATCCCTTTTTATTTTATAGTGGTCCTGTCTGTTTGCTCAAGTTTAGCCTGGCAAATGTTTTCCCTTTACAGCAACCAACCAACCATCCCTTGTTTTTTCTTTTCTTTTTGTTTTAGTATAATCCCATCTACTGCATCYAAGACATGGAAACATTTTGCCGCACAAACAAGATCAGCACAATTCAAACTGTCAGAAAAAGGCACGAGAGGAAGGCAACATCTTGACAGCCTACAGAAGTGAGCACAGCATACAGGATACTTAACATACACCCACCCCCCCACACCCAACGGTAAGTTTAATYGTATTTGAGCTAATTGTTGAAACCCTAAAATGAAACCTTTTAGCTCCAGGTGTCTTTTTCTGTTGGTAAACATCTTTGTTGCATTGCAGTTTGCTGCAAAATTATTTTCAGAAAGCAATCAAATCTCTGTTAAGAGTTGTCAAAAATAAATGACTTGCAATGAATCACCTGTCTGCATCCGCCATGATGGAGTCAGCTAGTAATTGCTCTTGGCAGCCGTGGATTTCCAAAGGTGGATTAATAACACCCTGAAAAAACTATGCTTCACAAAATGCTAGGTAAGCAACACTGAGTCAGGCTGCTGCTTTATGCTTTTTAGCTTGATGGCATGTGAGAGCTGCCATGGACTTGTGATGGACTATTGATTGGCTTTCAAGATACTGCACACGAGAGGCTGGACTTCAATCAGGCTGACATTTCAGAGAGCATGTGAGGCTACAAATGAGTCCTAATCATAAACAGACTCATTACACACATCATTAATCAGAGAATTCTAACTGGCAAAGCACTTTAGATAAATTCTTCTTTTTTCAGCCTGCTTGCAAGAAAACTCCCCAAAAAACCACTAAATCGCAGATGGTTTATGTGCTTTAACAAAACGAAGACAGGCTCATTACTTCCAAACATGTACGGGAGATTTATAATTGATTAATGAAATGTCCAACTGCCTTTTTTCTCTACTGCCACAAACACACTAGACTATTCAGAGGACAACAAACTTTGCCAGCAAAAGGTATATCAAGTTTTAGCTGTAGGTTTTGTGAAAAAGCATAAACATGCATTTTCTACAAATAATAAAACAGTTTAGATTTCTCACCTGCAAAATATGTTTTTCTTCTTTAACCAGCCTCCWCTAACATAACATTCAAACTTGTAAATGTCCTCAAATTCTGATCTTTGTTTATCAAAAGCAATTGCATCCTCTTTATAATTGTATCTCACTTGTATGACTGTTGGCAACAATGCAGGAGTCGACAGGATCTGTTTTGAAAATTACCAAGGTTCTCTGTTTGGCACTTGTGTCACAGAGGCTTGAGTTTTGAAAATGCACAAATATTTTGCTCATTAAATGCCCACCTAAAATCGTTACATAATTGTTACGTCTCAAAAACATTGTGATTTTGTTAGTGTCATTCATACCAATTTCTAGAACAAAATAGTTTGTTTGACACCAGCACAGGAGATCTCTTTTGACAGATAGCATGCCCAGATGTACAAAAAGCATCCAGATGTAAAATATTACTTATTTAAAAAATGGTTTAAATGTTATTTTAATATTCATGTTATTTTATTTTTCAAAAGTGCACTCCAATAGTTTAAAAGTTAAAAACAGGAGCAGCTGCCAGCCAAGGTGGGCACAAATTGATCAAGGTGGGTGGTTCAAGAGAGCCCACTGATAAATGTGCAAAACACAAAAATATTCAATGATTTTTTAGTATTTGACTGCACAAAATACAGCTTCTGATCACTTCAATTAAATTCGTTGAGTTAAATAAAACTGTTTATTTTCTTGCAATATTGAATCAAGTTTAAATCTTCAACTAATCAGTTTCAGCTCAGTGAGAGGCCAACTTTGGTAATAAGTTGAAGTGGAAAATAAACCATAGTAAAGCAATTAGATGAATAAARTGGAACTATACATAATAGCTTATTGAAAACAAGCTACTTTTTTGGTAAACCTTGAATCAGTAAACTGGACTAGTCCAAATGATTACATTTTAGCTTCAAAGAAAGAGATGTGCATTAGAAATATGCCTTTTTTGTTGCTTTTGTGCCTGTGTCTAAGGTTTATTCTTTCATTTTTAATTGTTTTGTCTAATACAAAAGCCAATGCTTTTTTATGGGATGTGCTATTACCTTTATTTAAACAGCCCAACCATAAGTATTAAATAGACATTATGATTCACTTAAAATGCTATGGAATGGTTCCTTATATCAAAGTACATTAACTGCCTTTTTTTGGTACTGTGATATTGAAAATTGATTATTAATAAATTATAGTTTTAAAGTCAGAATCAACTATTTTTTTTATAAAATTCATGAGAAGAGTGTCTCTGTTGACAACTCTTATTCATGCGTGATGCCCCACTTTACCTCTGTTTATGGCTGAGCTCCAGGATCCTCTGYACATCTTTCTTGGCCACTGACTCATCATTTTTCAGTGACTGAAAGAAAATAGAAAACATTTTTTAAATATTTTTAGCAAAGGCACAGTTTTACATAGGACAAAACCCACATGAGCATTACTTCAAAGCACGGAATGGGACAAACACACAGAAACTCAAATGTTTAATACATGTCCAATGATATWTAAATACTTTTCAGTTTGAGTATAGATGCAAAATGTAACACAAAATAAAAGCATCAGACTGATATAATAAGTGAGAGTATTAAAATAATTAGCAGCAGATGTAAAATGCTGTTAATCCACTCTTTCTAAAATATATTGCTTTTAACAATCTGCTGATGAATGTCCTAATGAGAATACATGCAGACACAGATTGGGTTTTGTTGGTGCTTAAGCAGATTCCTGATGGGTAATTAGGAATTAGTGATATATTTGATTGCTCCAGAAGCCCTCTGAGATATTTTTGTTTGTTATGAGAAAAAAAAGAAAACTAGTAAAGATATGTGTACACTTCTAGAGAAGATCTGGGACTCAAAGGGAGGGTTTGTTTGTCCCTTAAACCATACTTTAAAGTGAAGTCTGTGGCAATTAACACATTTCTATATACACTAGTGCCCATTTCCTTCTGGCACCAGGGAGGAAAAAAGGTCCAGCACCACTAAATTAGTTTTATGTAAGTCTGTCTTGAGGATAACATCTGATAAAAGGAAATAAACAAACAGATGCTGGTGACAGGGGCTCGTAGATAATTCACAGCATTAAAGCCAATAAATCAATGGTTTTAATGTCTTTTGTTCTCATTATAGCTGGAAAATTGTCAGCCTGCATGTGTTTAGCACAAACACTTTGAAGACAATGCCCCCTATCCTTCAACACACCAACCTAAATGGGTACACGGGCTTCAAATACTGCAACAATATGCTAAATGGAAGGCAATAAATGGTCTAGGCTATTTACCTGGCCATCTAAATGCTCCAAATCTCAATGTGAGTATCTGTGCACATGCCTGACCTATAGACTCCACCACTCTCTAAATGAAGGCGACAATTAGAATGTTTTTGTGCCTTTGTTAGATGCTGTCTAGAATGACAGTACCTTTTTTCTATCACCTGTTGCTGCCATTTGCTCTCATTATTTTTTGACAAGTAAGGCCTAGTTGTCAAAAAGAAGGATAATGGCTATTATTCAGTTGGATGTTACCTCAGTTTTTGCCTCCTACCTAAACCTTGTCATGGTTCACATATGCTTATTTTCAGCAAGTAAATGTGATTTGCGCCACTTGCGAGACGCGCTTATAAACATCACAAAAAAGTTCAAGATTTTCATTTAGCTTCAAGAGTTTATGAATCTTGATCTAATCCATCTTCTGTGAAAGTTGCTGGTGGAAAAAATGTCTGATAAAAAGCCTCACCTCAAAACTCACAGGATTTAAAGGATTTACTGCTATCTTTCTGGGTCCTGAGATGACAGCACCTTTTAAAAGCTCTTCTGGAGTTTGTGACTTGACAGGTTAAATCTGTTTAAGTGGTACAAATAACGCCTGCACCATACTAGGCAGGTGATAATAATGCAATGCCCTATAAGTGTACTTTGTATCGGGAACAATATCTTAATGGTTGAACTTGTTATCTATTTAGCAAAGACAAATCCTGTTGAAACAATAAAAYTTAATTATTGGCACAAAACACTGTTCAATTATTAATGCACTACGATTTATGATTTGTATAATGACATTTCAGTGCCCTATATGTTTCATTGCAAAAAATAAATATATATTAATAATAATCAAGTATATAATAATAAGTATATAACTGCCAACATGATGCTTCTGAGCTTTTGTAAAAGCCACAGTTGAATAAATGTGTTAAAGCTATGAGCAGCTTTTTGCTGTTCTATCTCTCTGTTTGTTTGAAGAACCAACAAAGAAAGGTGTAAGGTTGACTCTAAAGTAGTTAAATTATTGACATTGTTAAATTTGGTGAAATTTTGGCTAAACTTGAAATTTAATCATTGTAAACAGTAGATGACCATTCACTTTTTCTAAAGTCTGCTCACAAAGGGAATAGATCAAAATGAGAAACAGACATCTCTTTCCCCGGTGACAATCTCCAGCCTTTTCTGTGGGATCCCGAGGCATTCCCAGGAAAGAGAAGATGTCATTTTATTTAATCATGATCCATATGATCATCATATGTGAGGATTGAAACATAGGTAGACCTGTAATTCAAGAGTTTTGCCGACTCCACTCCACCATGACTGACAGAAGCAATACCCTCATTACTGAGAACGGGGCCCCAATCTGTTCGTCCTACCATCAATCAGAAACAATACACCCAGATACAATACATAAATTCTTCCACCTAAGGCAAACACCCCCTCAAACCAAGAGGGGGCAAACCACCCATTTCTGTATGAGAACCAAGGCCTCTGATTTTGARGAGCTTACTCTCATCACAGCTGCTTCACTCGTAGCTACAACCCACCAAGTATGCCAAGTAAAATATACCAACAGAGCCACATCATCTGCATAAAGCTGAAAAGACCCTGACTTCCCTAAACCAGTCATCTTCTCCATGACTGTGCCTTGAGATCTTGTCCATAAACAACACAAACAGGATCAGAGACAAAGCAGTTGACAATCATTCACAACCCATTTTTGAGAACCAACAGATCACAAGACATCTTTGATTTATGTATACTTTTGTTCAAGTTTAGAGTGTATGCTTTTTTTATTATAAGCCCTTGCTACTTCATATTTTCCAGAAAGAAAGATTTTCTTTTAAAAGTTAATATTGTCCATTAAGATGACACTTTTCCCCTGGAGAATAAATCTGTTTCGGAGCACACTATTTCAGATTTAACTTTACCTTTACGTTATCCAGCACACTGACTTAGGGCCCAGGGCAGAAACAGATGCCAACCTAGCTAGCCTGAAGTGAACAGACATTAAAGCATGTCTCAAGGATGATGGGGGCCAGGCTAAACAGGTTTTTACAGACACGTCTATGAAAAATGCATTGCACTGAGGTAAAAATGCATAGATTTTGTTGCTGTTGTCAGCACAAATCTAGACAACCACATTTTCTGCTTGTATACTAAAATCATTAACAACTTGCGGTGAGAAAGCTATCTTCAAAATTACAAATTTAAATGTGGTAAGTTTTAATACAGCAGCACACATGATCTAATCATCTGAGTGGGATGTAAGAACACTGATGCATACTAATGTGACAGGATAAAACATAAATAAATAAATGAAAGTATAATGAAGTTTTTGTATTATTCTTCTTTCTGCTGAGAACTTTAATGAGGTTGGCCAAAAGTGATTAGTGGGGAAGTGAAGCATTGAATCCARCACTGTGATAACATAGCTAAACAAATTTCTCACATGCATTTATACCGGACATTAAACAACATTACTTGATAAGATGTCCAAGACCATAATTTGTCTAAAACAGGATTATTTTGTAAGTGAGACTATGTTCCAGTTKTCTTCTGCTCAGGCTACTGGAACAGGACAGATGAAGACAGAGAACTTAACACTGTTGTAATGATAAGATAAGAGCAAGCCTAGAAAGAGGGGCTCTTTAAGCATGATGTGGGAACTATTGAAACTTTTATATTCAACATCCAGATTTACTCAGTAACAAGTTTGGACAAAGTGTTCCAACATTTGAAAAAAACGTTATCTGCTATTACATCTAGAAATTGACATGGTACAGAAAAGAAAAAAAAAAAAAAACTGCTGGAAAAGAGGAGATAAAATATATAGTGTACTGTCCCC